GCTCAGCACCTTCCGTTCCCAGAAGCTATGATACAGCTCACCAGTGACCAGCCAGCCTTCATAGGCAAAGAATTTAGTCAGAGCCAAAAGCATTATAGGTTTTCTCTATTCTGGAAACCGTGAACAGCTTATACGTGTGCCTGTCTTACCAGATGTCCCCATCTTCCACATGGAGCTCCTGGTAGGTTTCAAAGTCCTTCAAACCCTTTTGGGAGGGTCCATCCCTCTTGATTACTGTGTCATGTCAGCTCCTGGTTCAGATAAGAGTGACCCTGCTCTGTATCAGACAGGGCACTTCATACCACTCTCAATTCTTGGCTTTCAGAGACTCTTGATCCCAGGCAAAACCAGTATATGCAATTTCCCCCAGGGAGCAGTACTTCCGCATACCCGTTTAACTGTCTACAGGTTTGCATTAATTACTTCATAGTAATTTTAGTTTTTGATCATTCATGCTTTAGGTGACTTTTCCACCTTAACTCCATTGATTGTCTTGTTTCAAGAAAGAAATTAATGCCTTCATTCCCGGGCTGGGTGGGTGGATGTGCATGTACCAGTACGAGCTATGGGGAAACAGAGTCACATTCTTTCATAACAATAAACCAGAAGTTTCCCAGTTCTTCACAGTAAGAGAATAACTCATTACTCACCATAAATGTTTTCAAGAGAAACACCCATTACTCTGAATGATAAATCAATAAGGATCCTTACCTGTTCCATCCAATGGCTTTTTGGGTAACTTGGGAGTAGCTGTGATTTAAAAGTAAGAGGAAAAAACCTTAGTTACTAGTGTCACCTGGAAATTTGTCAACTATGACTTAGAAATAAACTACAAGGGCTTATTCATCACAGAATGCTTACACCCCATATGTGACGTGGAAGATTACAGGATGCTTAGACCACATGCTTTTCAACATCAATTAAATCATGGTATGAATTGAAAACCATTGTATTAGCTCTCTTTTATACTTTCTTTGCAGACCTCTCTCAGGCCCTGATCCTGCAAAAGTTCATGCAGGTGCTTAACTTTAAGCACATGCATAATCCCACTGAAACAAACTGGACTATGTACAGTTAAGCACCTGTGAAAGATCGGGGCCTACGTGCTGCTCACACCAATGACGGCATTGCACACACACAGTCAAATTCTGCCCTCACTTACCCTAATGCATGCTGCTGTCCAGTATAGCAGGGAGCAAAATGTGACTCCCTGTCAAACTATGTACTTCAAACAGACTCAGCAAACCAACTGCTAACACAACAGGACTTGTCCAGCACATAAAGCAAATAATCATCCTGAGAACATGGAGGGGCCATACATTTTATTCTCACCTGCTTGGGTCTCTCAAATCAATGACATTAGAAGATCTACAGCATGCCATACCACATCAAGTAACAGATGGGTTTGTTTTAAGAGAAGAATTTATCTTACATTGATTTCTGGTCAATGAAAATATCACAACTCCTGACACTATTGTGGCAAGACATGAAAGTGTGTGTGTGGGGGAAATGGGAGGGGGGTTAATAATGCAAGCCACTGATTATATCTGTTAGTAGTAATGGGCCATGTTACCTTCAGTATGAATAAAATATGAACAAAAGGTGTGGCTACCTATCCTATTAATTTCTGCCTGTCTCTCTGAATATTAGAATGCCTCTCATCTGGCAATATTTCCAATGGTGTGTCATGATTTAAGTCAGCTAGCCTCCTTCAGGTGCTTGCTTTCTGCTGCTTGATCCGTTTAAGTCCAAGGATGCAGTTCAAGATATGTCTTGATTTGATAGCCCTGGGACTGTGGGATGTTTGCTCCCTTGTACTGGAACCACAGCACTCCAGGTCACAGCGTTTAGTCTGGAGTAGTGTTCTCCTGCAGCAGGTGTGTATGGGTCGTTGTAATTCTGCAGGGATAGAAAATCACACAGGGGAGAGGTCCTGGGCTTGCTACATTCAGTCCTCAATCGGTATGTAATAAGACTTTAGAGTGGTCACTGGTCTAATAACTCATTATCCATTATCTTTCTAGTGGGATGAAGTATTCATTTCTAGCCCTGGCAGATTACAAGGTATCTGATCTGAAAATCGCCCCGTTCAGATTATGTGCATTTTTTCTTCCCCGTGTGAATTCCAGTACAAGAAAGCAGAAGCTAAAATAAGCCCTGCTAGAGCCTGAAATCTGTGCTTATGCTGTAAAGCAAGGGATTTCAAATCTTTTCATAGCTGGGATCACATCTTTAATGGGCTGTCACCAGGGCACATCAGGTCCCATTCATAACCCATGGACCCACCTCCCTTTCAATTCTCAGAGTGTAACACCTGCCCTCCTCTTCTCAGGGCTTGTCTACACTTGAAACACTACAGTGGCACATCTGTGCTGCTGGAGTGCTTCAGGGTAGACCCTACCTATGCCAACGGGACGGATTCTCTTGTTGGAGTAGGTAATCCACCTCCACAAAAGGCAGTAGCTAGTGCTCTCTACATGGGGACTTAGGTCAGCTTACTGTGCTTCTCAGGGATGTGGATGCTTGACATCCCTGAGAACGTAGTTAGCCCAGACCAGGCTCAGTCACAATAACAACTTGAGCAATTGTTTAGGTGGCCCAGTGATAACAGGGAGATATTTGATGTATTTTCAGCTGACTTTAGCTACTGGAAACGAGCAGAAGCAGCACCATGTGAGCAGTTAGCTGTCTCTGAATCATCAATATGTGGTTTGTGGATCAGCAGTGGTCTAAGGACTATAGTGCGGGAACCACTGCTTTAAAGCATGTGTGTGTGATGGGAAGCAACATATTAATAGGAATGCCATGATTCTGTAATAGTCTTGTATCTGAGAACTTGCCTGTCTTGGACTAGTACAGATGTTTTCAGGACTTGGGGATTTCTTCAAGTGCTCCATCTGGAACACTGATCAGAAAGGGGGGAAAATTGGCCCCAGAATTCTGGATATCTTGATGGGTTTCAAAGAACCCTCTGGTAAAAGTAGAGCAGTCTTTTCCTCTGTAGGCCAGATCCTCCGCTGGTGTATATCTGTGTAGCTCCATTTACTTCAGAGAAGCAAACTATTCACACCAGCTGAGGACTTGGTCTACAGTTTCTGCACACCATGGGACATTCTTGTATATTCAGGCAGTTCCTACTGAGGTCCGTGGATGCCACAGAAATCCATTCCAGGATATAACGTGGCTCATCACTGGTTGTGTTCACAGGGCTGTACAATGATCTATGCTGGTTAAGGTATTAGATAGGGACTTATTTTCTTGACGTGTCCATAAATGCACGGAGAAGAACTGCGAAGTCCTAGTAGCAGACAGCATCGGGAACACAACAGCCTTTCATACTGTGATTGGTTCCTTGCATTTATTTATCAGGGGAAAGACTATGGTCCAGAGTCTGGTCTGGGTAAATCAGAAGTCCTTCTACTGAATACCACAGAGTTGTACTGGGGCAAAACTGACCAGAATCTGTGTAACTGTCTATTCTGTGTAAAACAGTATAAGGACTAGCACTGTCAAACAGCTGTGCTCCTGCAATAATAGTGTCACCTAGCCATGGAAGATATTAAGCCAGACCTTAACATAAAAATAATAAATGAGTTTTCTTTGCCTTCTCAAGTACCAGATAAGATCCCCCTCTTAGAAGTGATCTGCTCTAAATGATGAGATACAACAAAAATAACTAAAACAGGTTATTTTCCCTAGATGCTGTTTAGCAATGGTACTAATGGCTCACTGGCTTTTTAAAGGGGATTTGGAATCCCAAGAAAAACTTAATCTACAGGAGAAGGAAGTTTTGCCTGTTCAGATTTTTTTTTTCAGTGTACAAAAGATCTATGGCATGAAACTACATCAAGAATATTATACTACTAAAGTAGTAAAAGTACTTTGAATGCAGCCCAATTGGAGTGCTCTGCAGAGATGGTATCAATAGGGTAAGACCTTGTCACTGGATAGTGCTATCCCAATGCTGCATAAGCTTGAATGAAAGTGGTGCTTTTTTCAGTGACTAATTTTTTATGTAACATACAATGAAAAGTACAAAAAAGTAAATGACTTACAGCTTATATGTATTTCCTGTGGCACATGCAGTATTTGGATACCCAACAGAATTAGGCAATTATGCAATTTTACAACTTGTCAAAGACCAAACAACACAAAACCAGACAATATCACACAGACAAAACATGTTAGGGTGAGGTCACAGTAATAGAGTAGGAGAAGACATGGATGAATAGCCAGGAGGAAAAGAGAAATGGGGGGAAGAGGCAAAGGAGTTAGGTGGAATGAAGGCCTCTCATGCTTTGAGCCATCTCAACACTTTTTTTATCCAGATGTATCTAGAAATGGGGTCCAAATTTCTTTGACTTCATATAATTGCTCTATACAGCAATCAGCTATTCTTTCTTTGGCTGCTAATTAAGATAGGTCTGAATACCACTGCTCTATTCTGGGTATCTCTACTCTTCCAATTTTGTAATATCATGCAGTTGATTATCTATTTCAAATAATGAGACCTGGATCCTGTGACAATGTTGTAGAAAAAGAGTTGATTTTCATTATACCCAATGAGCACTACCCTCCTCTACAACAGAGGTCCCCAAACTGCAGGGTACGCCCCCCTAGGGGGGCACAGAGAAACGTTGGGTGGGGGCATGGTGGGCCCAGCCCAGTCCCCACAGGAGGTGGAGAGGGAACACCACCCAGCCCCGCCCAGCCCCATAGCTCCGCTCCCACCCCCAGACTAGGCCCCCGGCGAAGGTTCCAT